AGATTAGAAACACTTAGAATCGGTGCTAGTGCTGGAATAGAATACAGCTTACTAAGCGACCGCGACGTTCGTTCGCGCCTGTCATATACTAGAAATACTCACGTTCGCTTGTACCCCCAAAATTGTATGCAGGAGGGCCTAGTCAACGTTTTGCTAACGTAAAAAAGGCGAGGCCGAAGGCCGAGCGATAACTAAAATCCTAAAAGTCATCGTCGATTAATTTTGAATATATCAAAAATTACTAAAACTCAACGACAAATATAAAGGCGAGGCCGAAGGCCGAGCGATGGCTCTAATATCAAGAATTAAAAAATGTATCAAAAAGCACTAGATTTCAGTGACAAACGTTAATCGCCTGTGTAATTTTTGCGAGGTCGAGGACCGAGCGCCTCGTAGGGCGAAGCCCGGAGCGGCCACTGTCGCAAGCTCTATAAAATAATGTAAGGCTGGTTTTAGTGTCACGCGGACTGTCAGTGCGGATCGCTCCGCACAGCCGATCTGTATGAACTGCTAGGGAGCGGAGCGGTTCCTCCGGACCGCATTACTCTAAAACGCTCCCTAGAAGTTCATACAGATGTTCGGAGCGGGCCCGCACCGGACGGTCCGCGTGACACTAAAATCAGGCTAAGAGTAGGCGTACACCGTTGATTTATAGTTGGCCGATAGTTGTGCCCGATTTTAAATTGTATGAAGAATCGGCCAAATCGAATCGACGTAGTGTGCGCACTCCCATACATGTCCATACTGATCAACTGCCCGGCGAACACAATCAGGCGAAGTTATGAGAAGAAGTGATGACATTTATCAACGATAGCAGCCCGACGCGAGGTACCGTATTTGTGGTGTCAAGCCCCAGAAGGGGGAGAATTCGACTATGAGAAGGGACATGGATCAGATAAATTTGTAGGGAGTCAAGCAAAGCGCCCGGGGAAAAGAGCCCAGAGCAAGTACCCGCGCGCCGTGAGGCAGGATGAACCATGGGTGGTGGTGATCAACTGCCCGACTAAACTATCGGCCGACGAAAAATCAACGGTGTGCGCCTACTCTAAGTCCAGACCCGTGTCCCGCGACCGACCTGCGTGGCTGGGCGCGTGCAGCGAGGCGGGCCGCGGACGGCGCGGCGTGGTGGCGGGCCGGCGCGGCGCGCTCAGCACGCTGCCGTCGCGCGACACGCTCGGCGTCGTCGCCGCGCTCGCGCCGCAGGTGTCGCCTGCGGGACCTGTGCGAATCACCGGAGTTTTACCGTGACTTTATTATATCTTTAGACTTCACTCTATAGTCTGATCGCCGAGCACGTAGAATTTTGTCCAATGACCCCAAGCTACCCATCCTTATCGCTCGCGCGTAATTATACAGTGTGAGTCACGTTAAAATGTACATATAATAAATAATAGATGAAACTAGACCTATTTTATCGACAAAAAAGAGGTCAAAAAATTTTTGAGATTTAAAAAAAAAAAATTATAGATTTTTTTTTCTTCCAATTACTTATTGTAAAGAAAACGAAATAACTTTTAAACTAAGCGATATCAAATAATTAAAATCGCATGTCTCTATCCTTATCACAACGTTTGCAATGATCGTTTGAACAAAGGCCTTCCACAACATTATTCTCCGTTACAGGTAGAGACAATTTTAATTTTAATTAAAATGCTTATTTTATGTTTCGTGTTTTTATTTGAAATCTAACTTGTCTTTATCAAAATTACAAATCTAGAGCCATTTTCAGTTTCGTTGTTAACGAAGCTTTGAATGGCGCGCCCGGAGAGGCTTAGTTCAAACTATCATTGCAAACGTTGTGTTAGGGATAGAGACATGCGATTTTTGGTTTTACGAAGGTAATACGATAGAGAATAATACAAAGTAATAAAAACCACCGGTTATAAGGGCATTTTTTGGAGAAATTTATCAAATAACCATAAAAACACGAATTTAAAAGCAGATTTTTTTCAAAAAGTATCATTTTTTATTATTTGTTGGCCTTTTTTGTATATTGTATGTATTTTTTTTGTATCGCCTGTTATTTAGCATTATTACTGTTTTTATTTTATCAGGATATACCTCTTAGTTTAAAAGTTATTACGTTTTCTTTACAATAAGTAATTGGAAGAAAAAAAATTCTATAAAAAATAAATAAAAAAATCTCAAACATTTTTTGACCTCTTTTTTGTCGATAAAAATAGGTCTAGTTTCATCTATTTTCATATGTACACTTTAACGTGACTTACACTGTATTGCTGTCGCGACTGTGCGACGGGCGCCCGCAGTAAGTGTACGAGCGAAAATTCTACGTGCTCAGAGACCGGGCTTTAACAATGGTTTATTTGATGCCTTTTTCCTATAACACGGATTTCGGCACGCGTGCGTATTTCATTATTTCATACATGTCGTTCCTATTACTATTGCGGATTGGCTGCGGGCACACAATGCAATATCTTTGTCCTGCGTGCAACCAGCAGCGTGATATTACACGCACGGTGACCAGAGGTGGAATTGTGTAAAACAATCGTTATCATTTGACAGTTGATAACGTACGATTATTCTGTCAAACGCTTTGTTTAACTGACTTTATCGTACATTATGAACTGTCAAATGATTACGATTGCTTTACAGTGTAACGCAATTCCACCTCAGATACGCACGTATGCCGAAATCTACACAGGAAAATGGCAGTTATGGCCAATTGTAATTTTGTATTATGATCACACAAAAATTAAAGAATAAGAAAATAATATCATATCATGTCTAGTAATATGCAAAATCATATCAAATTATCGCTTGGAAACTATAGGCTATTAAATTTTTACAAAAAATATTTTCTTGATTGAACTCTACCTTCAAAGTTTAAAGAAACAACCTTAACTTATTGTAACATTAAAAGCATAATTTTAGTAAACATTAATTATTCATGTATTAGTTTACAATATTTAAAGCTAAGTTATTTAAATATTGCACATAGAGCTTAGCAAAGGGCAACATAAAGAAAGCTGCGATTAATGAAAATTATGTTATTTGTTAAATAAAAGACAAAGTGAAACTATCATGAAAGTTTGTGATTAAAATTAAAAGAACTATAATACTTGATTTGTACTAAGTGTTTTTAACTTTTTATACAATCTTACAAAAACTGAAACAAGAAATAAGAAAATTATAGAATCAAATATCAGGTATATTATTATGTAGAACCAGAATGTAAAAGCCTTGGATACAGAAGGGGACAACATGTCGTTTGAAAATTACAAGTACTTACGTGAATATTCGAGTAAAAAATGTTTCACATGCGATTGCTCTCCGAACTTACGGGTAAAGTAAATAGATTACGTCAAGCGCCATTATGCGTGACACTTGATAATATTACCGTGGCACGTGCTGATATGCGGGACACATTAAGTACAGTTTTCTCGTATCCAAAACTTTAACACATTCATCGTCCACAAACGAACAATAATAATGCACATCTGTACACCGGACTATTAACCCGTTCTTACCTCGCGGCGTGTTAACCCCGGTACCGGCGATGGACGCGGGGCGTGGCTTTCGCGGCGCGCTGCTGGCCCGCCGGACCACGCCGGCCGCCGACAGAGCGCTGCCCGGCCGGGAACCCGGCGTCGTCTCGCCGGAGCGGCACTCTGCACACCGACGGGACTGTACAGTGCCCGAGCTACGACGCGTGTATAGCGTATGAAGCGGTAGGTTGGATAGAGGACGGGTTAAGAGGTAAGGAACGTTTTCTTGGGACGAATAAACAAAAGACTCGCGCTATCGCGCGCGCAAGAGCTAACAAAGACGCTCATTTGTTTCCAGGGCGCATTTTACTGATTAAAAATAAAAGACGATCGCACTCTACGACTGAGTAATTATGACAAAACACGATCGCCTGAATGGAAACGAGATACCGTTCATTAGCGTGTCAGAGCTTAGGAAACGTTTCTTTTTTTATTTTTCTGCGTTGGGCTTTTACTTTCGGACCACGCCGGCCGCCGCAGCGTGCTGCCCGGCCGGCCGCGAGCCCGGCGTCGTCTCGCCAGAGCGGCACTCTGCACACCGACGGGACTGTACAGTGCCCGAGCTACGAGGCGTGGGGGGCGCGACATGTATGTGTAACAAGCGATAGGATCGACAAAGGAAAGGTGTTGAGGCATGGGACGGAAGAGTAAACAAAACACTCGCGATCACGGAGACGCTCATTTGTTTCATTGCCGCATTTTACTGATTGAAAAATCTGCACTCGGCACACCGACGGGTCTTTATTACAGTGCCCGAGCTACGATGCGTGTGGAGGGCCCGGCATGTGTGGCGTAACAAGCGATGGGAACGGCAGAGGAGGGGTTAAGGTAATGGAAAAAATAAACAAAAGACTCGAGATCTTGCGCGCGCAAGAGCTAACAAAGACGCTCATTTGTGTAGCTTAACAAGCAAAAACAAAACACTCGCGATCACGGAGACGCTCACTTGTTTCAATGCTGCATTTCACCGATTGTAAAATAAAAGACGATCGCACTGCCACGACTGAGTAATTATGACAAAACACGATCGCAAACAAGATACCGTTCATTAGCGTGTCAACGTTTTTCTTTCCTTTTTCTGCGTTTTTGCTACTTTTCCGGCGTCGTCTCGCCGGAGCGGCACTCTGCACACCGACGGGACTGTACAGTGCCCGAGCTACGACGCGTGTATATAGCGTTTGAAGCGGTGGGATGGATAAAGGATAGGAGATGGGATAGAAGAAAAAACAAAACACTCGCGATCGCGGAGACGCTCACTTGTTTCAATGCTGCATTTCACCGATTGTAAAATAAAAGACGATCGCACTGCCACGACTGAGTAATTATGACAAAACACGATCGCAAACAAGATACCGTTCATTAGCGTGTCAACGTTTTTCTTTTCTTTTTCTGCGTTTTTGCTACTTTTCCGGCGTCGTCTCGCCGGAGCGGCACTCTGCACACCGACGGGACTGTACAGTGCCCGAGCTACGACGCGTGTGTAGCGTATGAAGCGATGGGTTCGGAGGAGGAGGGGTTAAGAGGAAAGAAGGAACGTTTTCTTGGGACGAATAAACAAAAGACACTCGAGTTCTTGCGCACGCAAGAGAACAAATGACGCTCACTTGTTACAATGCCGCATTTTACTGATTCAACAAAAGACGATCGCCTAACGCTGCGCTAAACGCTGCCTGGATGAAGAATAATTTCGACAAAACACGATCGCGTGAATAGAATGTAACACAAAATAACGGTCATTACAGTGTCTTATGGCCCTCGCCCACGGTGACTTTTAGCAGCGATGCAATCGCGCATTAGTAGCGTGTTGGCATCACTTCTGTAGTGCGTTGCAAATGCGACTAACGCGCGTTAGTTAGTAAAGTCGCCGTGGGCGAGGGCTCTTAGCTTAAAAACCGTTTCTTTTTCTAAATCTTTCGTAAATCTGTTAGTTTCGGAGCACGCCGGCCGCCGACAGCGCGCTGCCCGGCCGCGAGCCCGGCGTCGTCTCGCCGGAGCGGCACTCTGCACACCGACGGGACTGTACAGTGCCCGAGCTACGACGCGTGTGTAGCGTATGAAGCGGTAGGTTGGATAGAGGACGGGTTAGGAGATAAGGAACGCCTTTTTGGACGAATAAACAAAAGACACTCGCGCTTTCGCGCGCGCAAGAGATAACAAATGACGCTCATTTGTTTCAAGAACACACGCGATCACGGATATGCTCATTTCTTTCCATGGCTCATTTAACTGATTGAAAAATAAAAGACGATCGCACTGCCACGATTTTGAGTATTTTTTGACAAAACACGATCGCGTAAATGGAAACGAGATACCGTTCATTTGCGTGTCATGGGTTAGAAAACGTTTTTATTATCTTTTTCTTCGTAAATCTCTTAGTTTCGGACCACGCCGGCCGCCGACAGCGCGCTGCCCGGCCGCGAGCCCGGCGTCGTCTCGCCGGAACGGCACTCTGCACACCGACGGGACTGTACAGTGCCCGAGCTACGACGCGTGTATAGCGTATGAAGCGATGGGAACGGCAGAGGATGGGTTAAAAGCTAAGGAACGCCTTTCTGGACGAATAAACAAAAGACACTCACGGTCATGCGCCTGCAAAAGATATTATATGACGCTCATTTGTTTCAATACCGCATGTTAATTATTGATAAACGAAAGACGATCGCCTAATACGCCGCCGATGAAGAATAATTTCGACAAAACACGATCGCGTGAATAGAATGTAACACAAAATAACAGTCATTACAGTGTCTTAGATTAGGAAAGTTTTTCTTTTCTTTTTCTGCCTGCTTTTTGCTTCTTTTTCGGCGTCGGGACTGTAGAGTGCCCAAGCTACGACGCGTGTGGGGCTCGACAAGTTGCGACATTATAAAGTAAGAAGCGGCAGGATTGGCAGCGGAGGGGTTAAGAACGCCTTTCTGGACGAATAAACGATTGCGATTCATAAGTGCCACTTGTGGTCTAAACTGAATAAATATTTTTGATTTTTGATTGCGGTCAAATACCTGTCTTGTCGAGCATAAAAAAAAAATAAAAAACAAAAGATACTCTCACTCTGGCGCGCGCAAGAGCTAACAAAGACGCTCATTTGTTTTAATATCGCATTTTACGTGGGGAGCGCGATGTATGTAGCATAACAAGCAAAAACAAAACACTCGCGATCACTGAGACGCTCACTTGTTTCAATGCCGCATTTTACTGATTGAAAAATAAAAGTCGATCGCACTGCCACAATTTTGAGTAATTTCGACAAAACACGATCGCGTGAATTCATTCAAATGGAATGTAAAACAACTAACGTTTATTCATGTTACACAACTTTGAGCATATTGGGTCTGTCAGTAGCTTTTCTTTTTCCAGGTAAAGAACCATTGAGGCGTCTGACGTCACCGACCACAATGTCGGTTATCGGTCGGTCGGTGCACGGTGATTCACCCATAGGCCAAAAATCCAAAAATGTCACTGTCTAATCCCGGTCCGATGATGTCCCTAGGTTATTAACTAGTAACCAAGCTATCAAAAACTATAAATAGTAATGTAATAAGGTCAAGGTTTCATTCACTTTTGTGCATCGGAAGTGAGGGCATCTCGAGTCTATTTACCGCGGGATGTGAGTCGTCGAAAGTTAATCACTATGTTATTGAGTGTTACTGTGCCAAATCGAATGTTTAAGTGTATTGATCATATGGAGGTTCAAGAACAAGGCTATGTACNTCTAAATCATTTAGACGCAATTACACACGAAAATTGAGCCGCATCTTGACCAATACAGATTAGGTCAACAGGCTTCTTCTTCATTCAGACCCCCTCTTATCAAGTCTACGTAAGTCCAGGTTAAAAAAAGATGCCCTATCAAAATGTGCACTGGATTTGTTATGTATTTAAAATATTATTTTTTGTGTTGAAAATTGGAATTGTTATGTATTTAAAATTAATTAGATGTATTCTTGCAATTTTATTTTATACCTTTATAGTTAACTATTCATATAAATAACCATTATCACAACATTCTAACATTAAAAGTCGCAGTATTAAATGTTTTACATTTTTTTGTCTAAAACAAAATTACTATGAGACATTTTATCACCTGAAAGTAGACATTTGTGTTGCGAAATATCATAATTATGTTGTAATTTTAATTAATTGTGTATATTCTAACATGTTTCAACGTATAAAATAAAGAAAACCACTTTATTTTGATGTTAAGTATTTATGGCCGCCTTAGTACGGAGCGTGAATCACAGTGCGGTGGTTGGAAGGAAGGAGGAGGGATAGAAGGAATGTGTTAAGGGAAAAGCTCATATAATTACAGCATAGTTTTACAAGATTAACATAATGATTAAGAAAGTGATGTAAATGATCTCAGTAATAAAATAAAAGATTAAAAGTAACGTTCTCTAAATTTTACATTTTACTTAAAAGAGATGAGAAAAGTAATTCCATTCAATTCAAAATTAAGAAAAAAAAGGTTATTTCTTGAATTATTCAAATTATCCAATTCCAAGTAAATGTAATGTTTATTTACAAACAAAATAAAACAAAAAAAGTGATATAAACGTGGTATCAAAACTTAATGTGAATGGTGGATGAAAAAGCATCAAAAAAATTAAAAAGCACACTGTAAAAGATAATATTTTTCCAAAAGATAAAAAGTTTAGAATAATATTATCTTTTACTCATAAAAAACTCACCTTTATTAGTAGTTTACTTGCAACCAGAAACCAAGGAAGCACCAGACCAAATAAGACCCAAACATATTATAAATACAATACCTTTTCAAACCACGTCCAAATGGTGATGGATGATGATGATGACGATGAACCTTTTTATGATGATCAGTTTCTTATAGAATATAGGCGCATCGAACATAATTTAGAGACAAAAATGTCCGGGATGGCTGTCCCAATTAATATTATATTTTTTCGTTGAAAAGCTCACACGCAAAGCTCTTGCAAAGCTTTTTAACCCCTACACCGGAATCAATTTCAAAGATATTCCTCTAAGGTTTATCAAAGAAGAGGGGATGGATTTTGATGATGATGAAATAAGAATTAAAATTAGGTTAGTTACAACTGTGCGTATTAACACCAGAGGCTCGATAAGTGCTGTTGTTATTGACTAAACTTCACCAAATATCGCCAAAAGCAAAGCGTCATCATCTTAAACTAGACTTCTCATGTGCCATTGACGTCAGAAGTACATAATATACCCTATCAGAAAAGGGACTACAAAGTACTACTTAAGGTTTCCTAAAGCTGTACCATTCTCAGGCACTATAACCATTCAGGGATTTGAAGAAGGAAAATCAAGTCTAGGTATAGAAGAATTTCAATTAAGTTTATAACTTGAATATAGCATTGACCTATGATAAGAGAAGACGAAGGGAGGTCAAAGAAGAGTGTCCATCTCCTGTAAGAAGTTCCCTCAACTTATTAGGGTAAGGACATGGGCCCATGTGGCTCAAGTGGAGCATTAAGACGCTCTTCAAAACCAGTGGCATTAACTCATGAAACTGTCGCCACCAAGCTCCCAGGCTGCTCAAATGAGTGGTTAATATGTGTTTAGAAACCAGCGGCATGAGTTATCAGTCCAAAAACAGCGGCACCAGTGAACAGATCGAAGCGTCGCAAACCAAGCTCCCAGCCTGAATGGGGCATCTTACGAGTCTTGGAGGTGCGTCATGGAGTATGCTCTACTTGGCGCGAGCTCAGAATAACTCATCATGAGTTTAACCATTGAAAATCCATCGGAGCTAAACTCCCAGCCTTGAACGGAGCATCAGAACTAGCAGCAGTTAAGACCAAATATTTTGCAATGAAGCACCCAGGCAGCTTAAATAGGCCATAAAGATGCTCGTTAACACCAGTGGCATAACGCAAACCAAGCTCCCATTCCAGCGCCACCAAGCTCCCAGCCTGAATGGGGCGTCTTACGGGTCCTCAAAGAGAGCATTTTAGACTATCAATAAACAGATCACAGCGTCGAAACAATGCTCCTAGGTGGCTTAAATAGGCTGTTACACCAGCAGCATGAGTGAACACTTGAAGCCGTCGCAAACCAAGCTCCCATTCCAGCGGCACCAAGCTCCCAGCCTGAATGGGTCGTCTTACGGGTCCTGCTGAGGTGCAGCGTGGGTTCAGAAGACCATTAACACACTCATTAAGACCAGCGGCATCAGTGAACGGATCGCAGCATCGAAACAAAGCTCCCAGGCGGCTTAAATAGGCCATAAAGAGCGAAGACAGTTTACGTAACAGGTGAAGCCGTCACAACCAAGCTTCGTAACCAAGCTCCCAGGCAGCTCAGACAAATCCAAGCGTCGCCACCAAGCTCCAGCCTGAATGGGTCATCTTACGGGTCCTGCTGAGGTGCAGCGTGGGCTCCGCTCGCGGCAGGCGGTCGAGGCGCGTCATGGAGTAGGCTCTACCTGGCACGAGCTCAAGCGGAGTGACTCATCATGAGTGGAAAATACGTCGCAGGTAAGTCGCCAGGCTCACAAGGAGATCAGAACCAGAATTTTTCGCAATGAATGAAGCTTCCAGGCGGCTCAAATGCTAGACGCTTTTAAAGATCAGGATAAGAACACTTCAAACCGTCGCCACCGAACTTCCAGCCTGCTTAAATGAGTGTTTTAAAACCAGTGGCGTGAGTTAACAGCCCAAAAACCTGCGGCACCAGAAAACAGATCGAAGCGTCGCAAACCAAGCTTTAAGACGCTCTTTAAAGCAGCATGTTAACCATTTGAAGCCGTCGCCACCAAGCTCCAGCCTGAATGGGTCGTCTTACGGGTCCTGCTGAGGTGCAGCGTGGGCTCCGCTCGCGGCAGGCGGTCGAGGCGCGTCATGGAGTAGGCTCTACCTGGCACGCGCGGCGCGGGCGCGGAGTGACTCATCATGAGTGGAAAATACGTCGCAGGTAAGTTGCCAGGCTCACAAGGAGATCAGAACCAGCTACATCAGTTGACAAGACCGAATATTTTGCAATAAAGTATCCAGACGGCATAAATATGCTGAGCTGTTAGGAAACAGGTGAGGCCGTCACAACCAAGCTTCTAGGCTGCTTAATGAGTGGTAAAGATGCTAGTAAAACGCTCCTAGACAGGTCAGAAAGACCATTAGACACTCGTTAAGACCAGCGGCATCAGTGAACGGATCGCAGCATCGAAACAAAGCTCCCAGGCGGCTTAAATAGGCCATAAAGATGCGCGTTAACACCAGCGGCATAACGCAAACCAAGCTCCCATTCCAGCGGCACCAAGCTTCTCAAGGGTCGTCTTACGGGTCCTGCTGAGGTGCAGCGTGGGCTCCGCTCGCGGCAGGCGGTCGAGGCGCGTCATGGAGTAGGCTCTACCTGGCACGCGCGGCGCGGGCGCGGTCGGGACCAGGTCGGTGCGGCGCCGCGCCACCGACGACCACATCACCGGCGCCGGTTGGCGGTCGGGTTCGTCTGGAAGTTAAATGGTTAACACTTAAGTGTACAGCATGTTATTTATATGTTTAAGGGTAGGTATACCCAACATTGATGAAACAAACGCAGGCCGTAACAGCGTATTACACTTGGAAATTTCGACGGGATCATCCAGTGTCTAAGTAGCTGATAGCTCAGTTGGAAGAGCAGTCGCCCGGCAAGCGAAAGGTCGTTGTTTATTATTTTAAAAATTTTATTGTTTTCGACCCTATTATAAGTGAATAAGGTTCAAATTATCATCATCATCATCGTTTCAGAGGCCTCCCGTAAAGATTTCAAGTATGGTCGAATGAATAGAATAGAGTAGAAAAGTTTGATCAGCATGCTTTTTAATAATCACTTATTTTTCGCATTATAAAAATGTTGCAATCAGAAATTATGAAAAGTAAAGAGTCCACGTTTTTTTATTTGAAACTATTTGCTGACATTTACTGTTGCAGAGATCAAGTAGTGCTCTTATAAATCTATTTTTATCCAATTTACATCAACAATTGCTTTTAAAAGATCGTTCAACCAAGCAGATTTCTAAGTCGGCAATGACGTCACACCACATGTACAATGTTTGGCTGTGCCCAAAATAGATTTCATACCATCAATGTTTACAAATTCATAGTGTATGAACTCTGATATTTTATTTACACACCATGCATTTAAACAGTTGCAAATAATGATTTCTGAAATATTCTAGAAGAAAGAAACACAAAATGAATAGAAAATACGTAGTGTTTTTAACAAGTAAAACATGATTACTGGATAGAAAATGTTAGAATTATTTTGCTAAATATTGATGACTACATTATGCACTTGAATTAATCAACCAAAAGAGTTATCTTTTGTTTAACAACTTAATTAAAGGCAAGATCGTCGTCGGTCGTCCGTCGACCTTTACAATCAGATTGAGACTTTATTCCACGAGCATTAGACACATTTTTGTTAAACAGTGTATCAAGTGTATGAGGTATGTATGGGATATGTGCAGTGCAATGGCTTACAAGGCGAATGAATGTGATCTTTTCTAATCCCTTGCAAGGTCGGATGATGTACGCGTGTAAACATTTATAGTCCAGTCAATAAAGCATTATAGATGGAAATCCATGGAACACAATTTTTGACTTCGGGACTTTATTTAGACTAGTTAGGAGGTGAACGTAGCAAAAGTCCCCGCCCTTAGCCCTTGAGCCGGCGGAGAGAGGGGGGTTAAAAGGTACCACTTTTCGGTTTTTCGCTTAATCCTCGGAAACTATGCGTCCTAGTGACATGACTACTATGAACCAAAAAAAGCTTATTCAATTTGCTACAGGTGAGATAGTCAAGTTTTTCTATATCTTGTATAGTCTTTGCGTCATCTGCTCTAGAAGGTCTGTAATATTGGATATATTATTTTTGTCTTACATGTTTCCATCAGGAGAAAATCGACTAAATTAACATTGAGCTAATATTCTAGACATACGGGAGCATGTTAAGCCTAGTTCCAGGGAGGGGACTGCATCGTGCGTATATTTAAACGAACCAATTGGAGCCACTTTTGACTCCTCATCACTCAAAAAGTACTGTGCATTAACACTTCAAATTTGGCTCATGTGTTGAGACTTCCAAGATAAACATCAGCTTCAAATTTCATAAATATACCTCAAACGGTTCTTTAGATATTGACGTCTAAAAATCTACATGGCTGACCTATAAGACCAAATTCTAACCACTTCCAGATGACCTTGAAGGTTTAAATTTGGCATCCAAATAGGTAGTTGTGTAAATACAAAGGAACAAATAAAAAACCAGTAAATTTTAACATTTCACATGTGATAGTTAGAGTTTAGTGTCCTAAATGTCGATTTTTGAACGCCAATACCTAAATAACCGTTTGAGGTATATTTATGAAAATTAAAGCTGATGTTTATCTTGCAAGTCTCAACACATGAGCCTAATTTGAAGTGTTAATGCACAGTGCTTTTTGAGTGATGAGGAGTCAAAAGTGACTCCAATTAGTTCGTCTAAATATACGCACGATGCAGTCCCCTCCCTGGAACTAGGCTTAACATACTCCCGCATGTCTATAATGTTTGCTTAATGTTGATTT